TGCGCGTCTCCGCTGATGCAAACGTCCCAGCGCAGGCGTCGACACTCCAGGATATGGTTTGCGTTTGGGGCGCGAGAGAATTTTTCTCCCATAAAGTAAATAAATACGTCCTGAGCATCTTGGGATGAAGCCATTCTAATCCTTTTGTTCTTTCCAAAGGAAAATGATTCCATATTCAGGGCACTGTGCAAACAATTAATTAGCCTAATGAAAATGAAAGGCCTAATTGCTCAGTATTATTATGATCATTGGCAGCCAGGCGTGACCAAAGAACAGGCAGTCTTACCAGGGATAACGCACGACTTTCTGGCTTTTTGAGCTTTTTCAACATTTGAACATCAAGCAAAACAATTTTTATTTGGAGTGATGGGGTAATGCTCCCTTCCACATGCAAAAAAGCTGGCAGTATTTGGAGACATCTGAATGAGCTGCTGTACAACAAAAAAATATGAAGAGGAGAGAGACCCAGCTGGTGTGAAATAACCTGGCTGAATGAAGTTGATAAAGCTGTAACTTGCCTGAGTTGAATGACATGGTGGTGACTCCACCACTTGTCTCCAGCAGGAGACTTGACTCACAAAACGAGAGTGCTGCAACATCAAGAAAAATTGTATTTTTGAAGGAGCACACCTGAAATTAAAGTACAATCATCTTTAATGCAGCTCTCTTTTCAAGGATCTGTTGTTATCCAAATGGAAAAGCACTTTAAATTAATGCAGATGGATTTGTTCACTGTGGATAGGATCCCATCAGGTTACAGGAGTTTTAAGAAACTGAATCGTTACCATTCATGCGTATCCTGTAAGGTGGAGATAGAAAGCAGATGCTGACTGAACACTGACCTAGCCTGAGGAGTATAGGTCCAGTATTTCTTCCTTTAAGCAGCTGATTCTTAAGGGAAAATCCCCCAGATTCAGCTTTAATTCTATTATCTACCTTGTGCAGAGACTATTCTTTAGAAACAACGTGGGTGAAGCCTGCTCTTGTTCACACTTGCACAACCCCACTGACTGTACTACAGAGGGTTTCTCAGCAAGCTGGATTTCCGGTGTTTGGGGTGGGGGGAAGTGCAGTTTAAACTCAACCAGGGGCACTTTTACTCTGTGCTCCAGGCTGGCACACAGAGCTGCAAGACATGTCCACGCAGAAGACATCCATTATCATGCAATGTCAGACGCTCACTTGGGAAAAACAGTTTCCCGGTGTAATCACTGGTGGAAGGTAAGTGCCTCACTTAGAGGCTTGGGATCATCCCCTGGCAGAGTTTAATATTCTGAACTGAATGCAAAGGGATCAGGAGCCCAGACCTGGTCACCGAAACGAGCTGGGATGGTGCCCCCTCCTTCCCACTCGCAGTATGCTTAGCGTAGCACTCCAGGGGATGGTATCCTCCCAGTGCAATTTAATAAACTGCTGGCTAGCAAAGAGCAAGGGTAAGTCAGACCTGCATCTCCTCCAGCTCTTGGGACGCAGAGCGAGAGCAGCCCACATACTTCCCTTGGCACAAGAGTGGTAATTTCTTTATGCCATCTCAGCGACTCACTGGGAAAATGGCAACACAGACTTGGTCACTTGAAGGCTTTGGATACTCCACATTTGCGCTGTGTTGCCTTTAGGAGGTAAGTTGTGTCCAAATCTATTTGGTTTCAGGAGGATTAAAAGAAAAAAAAAGGCAATTACAATACAGAATAATACAATCCTGTGAAAAAGGTCAGAACAGAAAATACAGGTTCATGGTTGAAGGTCACTGCACTTCACCATCACCCTTTTGGCTTGCAAAAGGGAAATCAAGGAGAAGGCACCGGCCTTGCTGAAACTGTTTCAGGTCTGCACCCATTTGTTCACACAGCTGGTAACAATTCTTACAGATGCTGCTGAGGCCTTTGAGACATTAAAAAAATGACAGACTCAAAGATGTCATGGCCCGAACGGTCTGTCAGATGACTGAACATCCCAGCAACCTCTGTCAGGCTGGCTCACAGCATTCTGCTTAGCTGAACACAGCTGCTATTCAACCTCGGACAGAGAGCTACTCATCACCACTTACTGACAGAAAAGAAAATTCTGACAAAACAAGGGTTTTGTTTTTAATTTATTTTGCAAATCTACCAATTCATTTTATGAAAGTATGAAATCCCATGTGGTTACATTAAACGGTTACGTTACAATCTAGGCAATACAAATAACCTCTACAAAGTTAATTTTAGGTACTCTTGGATAACAAGTAGATTTTACATTACTTAAAATAAAAATAACTCACAAAGAAGAGAGAGAATAGCCTTGTGATTGTCAAAGAATTTAGTTTAAAGCAAGGCAATCACTGCAGGCTCTCCCTGTCCCACAAAAAGTTAGGAGAGAAACACTGATGGTTACATAATCTTTCAATGTTAATGTTCAATAAGATGCACCAAACAAATTAAGTGCACACATCTACTCAGGGTAACAAGAACAGTTCACAAGTTGTTTGGAAACCAGTGTCCGGTTTCACTCTCTGGAAATTACATTTACCGTATAACATCACCACCATCCTTTCTTCCAGATGCATAAAAATCCTGTAATATCATTTGTAAAATACGATTCAAAATTCAAATCTGCTCTAATTGAATTCAGTGGGAGTAGGATCAGCTCCTACATTTAATAAGTACTCCCGATTTACTGAAATCCTTACGAAACAGCCTCCTTCCCCGGAATGAAATTAATTTAGTGAACAAAATACTGTAATAATGCAGCAAAACTCTTTGCTTTACTATCCAGCAATTGACACTGCAACTGCATTTCTAAGGACCTTTATGCACGAGTACTCTTTCCTCTCCACCAGCAACAGGACACACGAAGACACCAAGTATCTATCCTTAGTGAGAACTCAGAGCTATGAAAATAAAGTATAAAAATCAAAGAAGAGATTGAATTAATCTGGAACCTGCTCTCCTGACACCCATCTGACACACCCCTAGTGTCACTCTGCTGCCTGTAAGCTGCCACTTCTGATGGGACATCCATCAATCACGACTGCACAACTGCTTCTTAGGAAGCAATTAAATGGAGCTTTGATTTTGTAGCTGCATCTCTACACCGCATGTGGTTAGGGGCAAAACGGCCAGGGTGCCACTGCCACATATAATGCGACAGTTTCACAGAGCAGGGAGAGCTGTTTATGGGGAAAAAAGGCAGCTGCAGCTACAACCCTGTTGGCCTGTGGCACAAAGGAGATTAAAACAGATCTTTCTCTCTTGTAGCCTTCACCTCTTTCAACTGGGACATCCAAAACGGCGTAAACCCTCAAATCTCCATTCATGCACGTGCAGCAAACCTGCAGAGCTTGTTGTAGTACGGAAGTGAAGCCAGCAGCACCTTTGCAGGGCTTTTAAGAGAACGGGGCATTTATCCACAAGAGTACCTTTTAACACTGATCATCAAAAAAAACTTAAAAGAAACCAGACAGGTTACACAAAACTCTACAAACTTTTCACCTGGACATGAAGTGCCATCAAACTACAGCAGCAAAACAGAAGTTAATGTTGAGGGCTGTAAGTGTCTACAGAAGGCCTTGTTCCCCTGAAGCAGATAAAGTTTGCTACAGTGCTGGAAATGGTACCAGCTAGTGGGAATGTTACTGTAACCAAGGCTAGCAATTTTCTTCCTTCCTGACAAACACCACTCTCATCCAACACGCCAAAGGCAATCAGCCTGCATTTACTGGTGGCTGACTGCAGAACTTTCCCCAGAAGGTAGTTTAAAACAGTAATAGATGCTTCAGTTTCCCATTCTCTGATACCATACGATAAATACAATTTGTTGAGACCCTTTGTTACAAGTATGCATTGCAACAGGCAGCCCCACCCCGTCATTACCACTGTGCCTGCTTGTTTTCCATCTCTACTCATGTAAATATGTCAAATCCTCTCAAGAATCCTGAGCAGCCGTCCAGAATCACTTGTTCTGAGCAGAACATTTCAGTAATAGTAAGGAAAGAAAAAAGAGTTGTGGGAAATTAAATGGTGCTCCTGTTGCCAAGTTGTTAAAATTATATGGCAATATGCTTCCAGTAGTTGTAAGAAATTAATTTGTGGAGTGCTTACAAGCCTTACATCTACTAAATCTCAACCGGATACAAAATGCCATTTAAGTGATACAACTCAAAAATGTTAAGGAGGGAAAAAATCAGCACCGAAGAGTGAAAGAAGAAACTAGACTCATCTCCACTCAAATTCCTCGAGGCTGGATCTCTACTGCTGAGGAAGCCACGTGGGAGATCCTCAGTGAAGTACTTAAGTTGTGTAGGCATGTCAGCACCTGCGTCTCTCCCTTCTGCCACCCCTCCTCAGCAGATGAGACAGGGCCCGCTCGGCGAGTTACTCCACTCCAGTACACAGCGGCTGGGAAACAGCTCAGCCAGCCCCTCCTTGTCCACTGCTTTCTGAAAGCACTAGCCAGAGCACAGTGAGTGCCATTACTTTTCACCTTCTTTATTATAATATTCAGAAACAAGTGCCTGAGACACCTGATCTGTAGATTAATTCACTTTGAAATTATGCCACCACATGATTACTGTCATTCTTTTCTCACAACAATGTCAAATACAATATAAAACTTCGGATTTTCAATAGTGAGTGAAATCAGCGAAGTCAGGAGAAGGACAGTGCCAGCAGTGCTGTTACTGCTCCACTCGCTAAGACAGAACCAGGGTAAGGCGTTTGGCAATCAGCACCAAGTTCAAGTGACAAGCTTTGTGACAACAATTCGCTCTTCGCACACTAGAGTGTGTACAAGTTTGGAGATGCACGGAAAACTGAGACTCCTGGTTGTTCTCTAAGCTGCTCTGAAACGACAACAATTCGTTTAATCCAGCAGCAGATCCTGGTACTATTCTTTAGTACATTTTGATAGCAACACAGAAGCACACGACACAAAACAGATTTGTTCAAGCTCACCATGGTTCTGATGGGCTGCACGCACCAAGAGGCAATTCAGAAAGTGCACACGACTCAATTCATCAGGACAACGCCACTGACTCAAAGGAATTTCGGCTCCACTTGGTATGGAAGAAAGAGTTCACAAAGGAAAAGATCTTATTGCAAGTTGTACTGCTCGGCTTGGCCACTTCTAATACCGATCAGAAGTATCAGAAGCTACCAAGGAGCCGAGGACAAAGAACTCTGTTTTGTAAATATTTTAAGAATAGCAAGCTTGCTTTAAAAAGAAAAGCCACTGCACAGTATTCCAAACGGCCTTCTCTAACAGGCTTGAAATTGTTAGATCAACACTGACAGAAAATACAGATTTCAGTAACAGTTTTGGCACTGAAATTTGGAAAACTCTTGTGCATATGGGACCAAGGCAGCTTGTTTGCAGACCCCTTTCTCGCAGTATCTAAGGTCACCCGTGCTTCCTTCACAACGGTGCATTGCTGGACTCAGCAGGTGCCTTCCTCGGAAGGCGCAAACTGGCAGCTGTCGTGAGAAACAGTGTCAATGCTCTGCACTTCTGACTGGGGGTGGATGGACACCTGAACGGCTATCTCTTGACCTTGCTCATTCATGGACCCATCGTCCGAATCCCCGGCTGGCGAATTGCTGCGCTTCATCTCGGGGTTGACGGGGTAGATCGCACCTTGGGTACCACGGGCTTGGGTCTGTTTCTCCTCCTCACCAACTTCATCGGGATCGTCAACTCGCACAGCCTCAAAAATCTCCTCCATGAACGCCCTGCAGTTAAGGATCAGAGGCGGAAGGGGAATGCTCCTGGCAAGCTCTTCAATGTACCGAGCAAACTCCATGGTCTTAAACTGAGTGACTTTGGCCAGCTCTAGTGTTTTGGCAGATGTAATGATGGGGATACGCTTGGCTATCTCAAAAGCCTTTTGAAGCTTCTCAGCTCCTTCCGTCCTGAAGAACTCATTGATGGCCTTCTCTGTTTTGCGGAGGTGACTGCTCATCATGCACAGACGGGTTATGTTTAGAATGAGGGTGATGGCAAAGGCAACGAGGCACACGATCATGTAGTAGATACTCATATCTCCCGAGGTGAAGATGACTCTCAGGGTGACTGTGTAATACACGGTGTCATTACGACTAACAGCTGCACACGTGTATCGCCCCCGGTCAGCAAAGTTGACCTTTGTGATGTTAAGGGAATTATCAGCAATCCTCCACCGGCCACCTGGAGATTCAAAAGAAATAAACTGAGCTCATGACACAAAAATCACTAAGCGAACTAGACATGTGCTGTTTGCTCCATCAACAGGAGACAGAGCTTGGAAGTAAGCAGTCCATTAACAGCACAGTACAAACGGTGCACCAAGGATCGAAATTTTCTTTTAATGTTTGTGATACAGAAAGCCATAACCCAGTTACCAATCCTACTGCTTAATGGCAAATTATTCTGCATGTTTGCTACTCTGGTTTTCCTCCTTTCTCTCATCTGCTCTCATCTTTCCTGTGTGCTTTTCGACTGCTAGCTCTTTCTGACAGGGAACCTAATTCTTAACTATTGCTTCTCACCCACTGTGTAACGCTATGTTGAAAGACTGTCCTCTCTAAAGTCTAATTTTCCATTCCTTCAGAGTCAAAAGTCAAGTGACCCATGAAAAGATCAGCGTCTGTAAACGGCTCTGCTGGCAAAAGAACCCAGGATTTTCTTGAGACGGTTTTCTGCTGAGCACACAGTACTGATACACAAGACACATGTAAAAAGAAATCAATAAAAGCTAGCTTTATACAGTACTTCTATGTGTTTATAACTTAGGGGGAAAACTGTTTTCATAACTCATTCCTCTAATTACTCTGCTTTGAACTGATCTCCAGATAGCACTGTAACTACAAAGAGATTACTGAACACCTAAGGCAGAAAGACAGCCTCCGAGAAGATCCTATCAATTAGCTCAATGACCTTCATCAACACTAAGAGAGCGGAGAAAACCACATGCATCTCTAGAAGACATTATTTTTGGAAAAATAAAAACTACAGGGACAGAACTATAAGAGACAATGGCTAGGAAAATATATTCTCCCTCTGTACAAAAGGGTGGAATAGCATGTATTTCATCACTGGCCATTACAAATTGCGTCGGTTTCCACAGTCTCACGGGTGCACAAACGAGAAAATAAATGCAATAAGTTACCCCGTGCTTTAAAAAGTCCTGCAACAAAATTAAAGCAGTGATTGTCAGCTGGAAAAGTTCACAAGTTGTGGAGAACTGTGTTTAATTCATGTGTTTGAAAAAATATAATATAAACCAGAGCAATAATAAATAAAACCACCGGTTAGTATCTGGTAGGATGAAGATTAATTTCTTCTGTATTCAGTACTGCGACGCCTCTTGAGCACAATGATTCTGTGGGGCACCATGGCAGGATGGATGGCCAGGACAGGAGATCTCAGTACTGGTGTAATTCCAACACCACATGCCAGAGGGCAAAGGGCTTTGTCTTGCTCTCTCCTTACCTCCCAACTATAAAAATGGGAGGATGGGAAGAGAAAATGATAAAAAAGTCCAAGAAGCTTTCACATACTGTATAAAAGGGGAACACTGAAGGACAGGAAACAGCAGGAAAGCTCACCTTCACCTTTCTGTTCAAGCAGGTGTCCTCTGGAGTTATACCAAAGAATATATTCATACTGGCTGACGTTCAGTTTACATTCAATTAAAACACCGGTCCCCTCTTTGGCTATGACATCATGGTGTGCTGGAGAACTTACTACAGCTTGAGACACTGTATGAAGTGATGTATTGAAAGGCCCAAAGGCAACTGTCCTGTTAAAAGCTACATTTTCCAGCGTAAATCCAATTGAAAGATCAGCAATAACAGTCAAAATTAACAGGCAACAGCTGAGCTTCATGGAAAGCTAGAGAAAATTCTTTTTTCATTTAATTTGCAGAAATGAGGTCATATGATATTAAGCTGTCTGTATTGCTCTGAGACAGGAGAGGAGGCTCTTGATTTGTTCAGTGATGGAAAATGTCTTGGATCCAAATGCACTTTTGAGACCATCAATATTAGAAGTGGAAACTGGAAATCCAACTGAAAAAAAAAAAAAGAATTAAGTTTATAAAAATCGAAAGCTTACAGCGCATACAAATTTCATTTCCAGTAAACGAATTTCGATTAGCACAACGTAAACTGCCAGCTGAGAGATTCCAGACCAGAGCTTTGCTCAGAACACAGGAACGAAACAGGGGAAAGGCAGCATTAGCACAACCTTCAGTCCTAGAATCATAGAATCATAGAATGGTTTGGGTTGGAAAGGACCTCAAAGATCATCTAGTTCCAACCCCCCTGCCAAGGACAGGGACACCCTCCACTACACCAGATTGCTCAAAGCCTCATCCAACCCGGCCTTGAACACTTCCAGGGATGGGGCAGCCACAGCTTCTCTGGGCAACCTGTTCCACTGCCTCACCACCCTCAGAGTGAAGAATTTCTTCCTTAGATCTAATCTAAATCTCCCCTCTTTCAGTTTAAAGCCATTGCCCCTTGTCCTATCACTACACGCCCTTGTAAAAAGTCCCTCTCCAGCTTTCTTGTAGGCCCCCTTTAAGTACTGGAAGGAAGATCCTCTAGATGTTCGTCTTCCCATCCAAAGAAATAATCTCGGGAACAATAGTCATTAAGAGGAAAAAGGTTTTAAAAAAGAACAAACTGTTCAGACTACTCGAAATGCAAAACTATCTGTAGGGTCAGAAAGCAGATGCTGCATTTGTTAACCGAGAAAAAGTGCTTTCTTACCAGAGGAAGAGAAGCAAGGAAGAGGGAATCACTTCTGCCTCCCTCCCCACCGGCATCAAAGTGCTTTCAAGCCCTGGTTTTCTCAAGTCACTCTTTCATTTGAACGAAATTTGAATTCACAGAGGAACACAAAAGCACAGGCACATCTGATCTATCTGTGCGTCTCCTTGCTCGACTTTAGAGGCACAACCAGTGTGAGATGTCTAAACACACACAATATGCCTGCAGTTTCTTGTGTGGAGGAAGTTCGCTTGGCAGTTATCTACAGCCACAGAGAGGAAATCCTTTTCTGAATATCAGGATACTGGTGTCTAAACATACTTCCTTTTTTGCAGTACTCTTGCTGCTGTATTTTCTGACTCTCTCTCTCTTTTTCTTGTTTGTTTTACAATAAGCTTCTGTTGAAAATCTTTTACTTTGTTGTGCTGCTACATCTCAGCGGTTGTATCTTTTTTATCCTCTTCTCTACCCAAACGCTGCCCCATATTTCCCAGCAATTTCAAAAATTGTTTTGTCTAGGGACAGAATTCACGCTCTTCAAATTAATGTCCACAAAAGATATTTTAAACATTAAGATACAGCCTTTGATTTTTTGTTCTTTGCACATAGGGATCGTTCTTTTTTAAAAGCCAGAATAAAACCAACTTGTAACAAAGTGACGTAACACCAATAAGAGAAAATCTGTAATCGATTTTTCTGGAAGATCGATTGAAGAAAATTTCTAATCAAATATACGTTCCCTGCAGTTATGGTTTCATCTAGACTGCTCCAGAGCCCTAAAAACCAATTTACAAAGTACAGAAGCTACAAGCCAAAGTGTTACCTTAAAGAATATCTCACTTTATCCCATTGACTGCATAACTTCAAATTTGCCATCTTTTCTTCTACCAATAACAAATGCTAGTGGAGTTGAATTTCGTAAGTATCACAATACAAAGGAATACATTTTCTTAACAAATAATGCAGACGCTTCTCATTCTTCCAGAATCACTAGTTAACTCTGCCTAAAGCAGACGTAAATCCTACCACTTACGAAAAACAATGTAATATAAATAACCACAGGTGATTTGTACTAATTGTCTTTTCAGCAGAGAACAATTAAGCACATTTGAAATGAGAAAATTCGCTTATAACACACTACCCAGACTAGTAATTTTTTTCAGTTAATTTGTCAAAGGTCAAACCAGATTCCAGACCTGACATCTGACAAGAAACGTGTTATCTGACCCATTTCTATTGCCAAAATCAGTCTAACAAAGGCAGCTGTGTCCAACTCTTCTTCGAGCTTGACTAACCAACTCATCCGCTGAATCCTGCGAGAGAAACTGGAAAACAGGTCCTCCACTTGTTCCTCTGTAAACAGCAATCCCTTTATTTGCCCTTTTTTTTTTAATTGGCCCCACTCTGTTTTCTATCGTGCCTCTTGTCCATTCATTCAAGAGGAGACCAGGGCCGAGAAGTCAATTACACCGCTGTGCTGAAGAAGGTGCTCTCCCACAGCTAAATGGTTTGAAAACAGTACTGAGACCTCTTCCACTCCTGTGTTCCACCAGTCACACTTTAGGGAAAGTGTTACTGAGTCCTGCTGCCTCTGGAGAAGAGCATCCCAGCCACATTAACTGCACAGGTCTGAAAAATACCCCAATACTAAGGTTGCTGCTGATCAAGCACTATCCTTCTATTTGGAGTGGTTTCAATCTTTCTTTTTGAGACCTCTAGTCTTTTCAGAGCCTTCAGAAGGCTGTGGACAACCGACCTGCTTATTTTGGTAACATCATGCAGATTTCTTAAGGGCAGGCTGCTGACTGTTAGTGGTTTGTGGACCACCAGAGCTGCCACGTGAGCGTCTGTCGCAGCTCGTGCGAGCAAGCGAGGCGCTGTGGCCACAGACCTTCAGCACATCCCTCGGCCACCCAGCTGCCTTCAGTTAAAAACACCACTGCACTTCAGAGCTTCTGCATGCACTGGCACTTGTCTTCACAGCCTTTGGTGCAGTCACAACTGAAGACAGCTCTGCAGCGAAGACAAACCCTGCTCTTCCTTACTGGATCAAACGCACAGAGTAACTTCCAGTTCCAAAACAATAACATCCCAACTCATAGTGTTTTGGATTTACTGGAGAATAATTCCAGTACCTCCTGTACTTTGCTCGTGTTATTGTCATTTAAAATTAATAAATTTAAATTGTTAAGAGTTCCAAGTGTCTGTGACGCTCCTCCTAAAGACATTAGGAACCTCAGACAATTTTTTAACACAACAAATACTCAGCAATATTTTCCCTCATAAGAGCAAGACAATTATCTTCAGTAATTGCACATGCTCTCCACTGTATTTGCACTGAGCTTGCATAATGTAGAAAACACTGGTGATAGGTCATTGAATATTTGATATTAAACTCTTTTGAGCTCTGATTTATTAGAAATTGTCACGTTTTGCTTTTGGAAAAGCTATTATTGCTAAGCTGACAATGATCTCTCACACACAGCTGAATGCTGGGAAAAATAAAATTATTTGCGAAATCCATATTCTTCCACCATCACACTTACGCAAAACAGCTGCTCGAGCCGATACACGGTCCAAAAATGATAAAGCTGAGCAGTGCCAACCCCACAATTCTTCAGGAAAGTATTAAGCTCAAGCAAGATGAAACGTATGGAACAGAAACTGGCTATTTTACAACTGAACCTGAAGCTGAGCTCAACCTATTTAACCTTTATTAAACCATAAGTTGTAACAACAAATAGCAGTGGAAAGAGAAAAATCCATCATGCATACACTTGCATGAGTCACCTTTGGATCTTATCCCGAAAAAACATATGTGTGCTTAAGTGAGAGCCCTCTAAGTAGTCCCAGTGAGGTCAATGGAAGTACTGATAGTACTTAAAACTACACACATTTGTAAGGCACTGCAAAACCGGGGCCCAAGAGGTTGCAAATGGTTTTACATTCACTGCTCTGAACATCATTTCAACCTGGAGAAAAGCAACAAACTGGGACACACCTGATGGACCACAGGCTGCTCTGACTGACTGTTACTTCTGGCACATGACGTGGAAAAGTGTTTTGGCATTTACAGCAGGCTAATTGGTAACAACATGCACTAAACGGATGCAGATGGGATTGCTTTTGCACCGAGCACACCTTCCCACTCGCGACACGATGTCTGGCAGAAATGAGGCTGCTGTGACCAGCCCGTGAGGCCCCTCTGACTCTTTCAAATCCAGGAGCTGCATGTGCCAGAGCTCTGAAGACGTTAACTCCTGGAAAGTTTGTAAAAACAGTCAGTGCGGTCTTGGCAAGAGCCATTACTGGTGTTCCCAGTACGGGAGAGGCCCCAAGCGGGGTTTGCCCTCTGCCAGCACCAGCGAAGGCTCTGCAGGGGAGGGGCTGCACCCACAGCCCAAAAAAACAGTGGAAGGAGCAAATTCACAGGAAACCTGGCGTGTGCCTGGCTGCCTGACGGGATGCGGGGGTTTTGCTGTTTACCCGGTCCCGTGGTTGCCCGACACGCGTCACGGGGCAACTCCTGACGGCCACCGGGACCACGTGCGCACAAACCCGAGCGGTTTTCCCTCTATCCGCCAAAAAACACCGCGGACAGAACTCCACACAACAGAAACTCCGCGCCGAACGGCCCAGGCCCCACCGGTGCCCACGTCCGCTCACGGAAAAAACCCCGCTCCAGCTGGGCTGCTTGGAAAAGCGGGAAAAAACACCTCGAACACCCGCACTGCCCACGTGGCAGCCCGGAGAACCCAGGCTACGCTGGCGTGACGTCACGCGGCCTGACGTCACGCCAGGAGACCGTCCCCACCCCCTCGGCAGCA